TAACTGTCAAACGTCAGCCCAAACTGACAACAGTAAGGTGGACAGCGCACTTAGAACGATCCTAAAGGCGCATTGACTGCCTTGTAGACGGTTCGTAAAGACATCATAGATTAGTGACCTGACCTGACCCGAGACGTTTTCTTCGTCAACATGCATTATGAGGGTGTCTGCTGGTGTGGTAGGATTGGTTGCGTTGAGTCGAATAGCATGCCGATTTATAAAAAAACTCATGTCATATTACAACTCGCCCCGAAGCGCCATTAACCCATTTTAAGGGCAGATGAATTATTAGTTTCGATAAAACACATGGTGCAAGAGCTTGCAGTATTTGACGTTTTTTTGCGTTCTGAAATCATTCAAAAAGTTTCATTTAGGGAAACAGCAATGTCAAGAGCACGACATGCACATGTGATGGTTAAGAAAACAAATAATCTACACAAGGCGTCGTCAACAAAAATACGACCCATCGAACAGCTGTAACAATCACTTAATGTATCAGGTGTCATCTCGTCTCGTAAAGATAGTGTGTCTCAGTGGAATTAATTGGCATTAACTCCGCCATCCCTAAGCGTTATTGGGTGTCACACCTGTATACAAAGGACCAGGGAGCAGCAAACCAATGCATGCCAATGGGATTATGCAAAGTCGGCACAAGAGTTCTCCTTGAAGTCTCGTGTAGCGAAAGGGGACAGGAAAGGCAATCACTGCACCCAATTTGCGAGGGTCAAAATAAGAAGAATGCTTACAATCATATGATGGTGATCTGATTTCGATCAGAGAAATTCAGCTATCGAAGCAACCATACTTTGTTCGTGCCGATACCTAGCCAATCAGCTTGTACGACTGAGCGGTTTGGAGCACGCGCGGAGGCGGGCCTTGGTGCAATTGAAGGCCGATGATGCTCATTTCATGCGCCAGTGCCAGTCCAACAGGTTTTCACTGTATGAAAGTGCCTTTAAAACAATTATTACCGAAATATGACGTTGCAACTTCTCAAACGATTCACCAACTAGCCGCGAATCAACGCGATCAACATTTGAGTAAAAAGAAGCCCACCTGCACTGCAAACGCACCTTTGACTCCTGGAAACCGAAATGGGGAATGGTTGGTTAGGGTGTGTGAGGATCTCTTCATCCACCAAGTTTTGAGTCTCTGGGTCATAAGTTCCGTGACTCGCAAATCCCCAAATCCTCTGCACGCGCACACAGCTCATATCTTGGCACGGATCACTTCAATCTTGTATGTGTAAGCAATCTTCTTGCCAAATGAGATACTCGCAGTGCTTAGAGCGTTAATCAGCTTCTAGGGCTTACTCAGAACGAGCGCACTGTTCACCACAAATTAAAGCTATCGGGTCGAAATACGGGTGTTCATCGACTGGCATGCATCCCCAATCGCGTATGCTAGATTTCACCTTCCTAGTAGATGTAGGGTGGCCACAGTGGCGGAGGGGTGGCAGTTGTGGGGTGGCCATAATGGCAGAGGGGTAATAGTTTTAGGGTGGCCACAATAGCGGAGGGGTACAGCTGTAGAGCGGCCACAATGGCGGGTGGGTTGCAGCTGTAGAGCGGCCAAAATAACGGAGATGTGGCAGCTGTAGCGCGACCATAATGGCGGAGGAGTGACAGCATTTGGTCGCGCCGCACGTGCGATGTGTAGCCCTTAGCGGCTGGATTTGGCCGAAGCCGGTCACTTGGTCAACTTCTGCATTAACCTATCACCGCATCAGACGGTGTCGTACGAATCTCTGCAATTTGGTTACAGAGAAAGGGAACACCAAGAGCAACTGCCTGGTGTCGTTGACTGTCATGAATTCAACCCGGTAGTGAATATTTAAACCTTCCGGCCAGTACGGGATCGCTAGTATCCGCCTAGAAACCGCCCCGTGTAACCTTTTTAAAACCGATCTCAAATAAAAAATAAAATAAAGATAATAATAAAACAAAAAATACAGCAAAGTGCTCCGGCCTAAGCCAAGGCTGATCGGGCCATGAAGATACGCCGACGCCGAAGATACGCCGACAGTGAGCCCGTCGCTCGCCGACCCCCAGCTTATATAACCAATATCCAGTACAAGTTACCGCGTTTTTCATAGCATTCTGGCCATAATTGCGACAACTGTAAATCATTGCAAATTCATCTATCATGTCGATCATAACTGTCAAGCCTGACCAGACTAGAAGCCAAGATCATAAATGCCACACACATATAGTATCGCTGACGACCCCATCGCCATTTGATGTCTATGGAAGATACCCTACGGGACGCCGAGCCGATGCTGCTACACATACGCTAATGGATGAGCCTGTTTAGCTAACACTTTCGGATAACCAACTTAGTTATGACTAACCTGCGGAAAATTGCATGAATTTGAGAAAGTCCTAATGCACAGAATTCCCACATAGAGTGTAGTATGATGATGTGCATGAGATCAGAAGTTGAGAATTGTGGAAAACTGTGGCGGCTATGTCAGCCGGCCGTGCCATTTATGCTATTTTGACATTGGCTCTCAGCTGTTGGATTTTCTTAGAATAACCAAGCTGGGTATGAATGGCCAACATAAATCGGTATTTCTCTGTTGGACGTTTTAGCTCCAGCGATATATATATATATATATATATATATATATATATATATATATATATATATATGGCAGCTATATCAGTTGACCTCGCCAGCTGACGTCTTCCCTACATGTCTAACAAGTCCGCTTTTTGGGCGTCTCCGGAATGGACACCAAACATTGGCTGCGCCGGCATTGTTTTGATCCGGTCCGCCGGCACCATCCTGCTCATAGGTAGCCACTTGTCAAGCAAGCCAGTTGTTAAATGGCCCGTAATGCCACATCAGCGAGCAGAGGTGCAGGTTCGCAAAATAGGCTTGCCAGCTGAGCAGGGGAAAATGGCAACACCTGCCCTCAAAATACACCTAAACGACTTTTTCCTCCGTGGTTGGCCTGCTTTGATCTCAGAGTTGGGGAACTGGATTTCCGCACCCCCAACTGAGCGGAAATGTACACTTCTGCCAATAACTCTCCGCCCGTCGCCTTGTCAGAACCGGCGGACTCTTGAACGCGTTGGTGAAAGCTGTTGCTATGGCTTCCGAAGGTGTCTGGCTTCACGAGCTTAGATTTTGGTGTCATCTTTACAACAACCCTTAACTTCCATGCCTTTGCCGCCTCTCGCGCCCCGCCGCACGGAGCGTGTGACTGGCTGCTAACTTATTTAAACCATTACCGTAGCGGTGCCACAATTACTGCGGCAGACAAGTTAAGTTGATTCTCGGACCAGATTTCACCCGAACGAGCGGCAGAATAATAGCACGCTCTGGCTAAAACACAGCATCATAAGTATCAGGCAGCACACACACGTATCAACATCGTGAACGCGTAGCAAAGCGATTGCACGCGGGAGAGGGGGGAGGGGGGAGGGAGGGGGGCAGCGCCAGGGACTGTTTGCTCCGGACCAGATAAACCGGACAGATTTCCAGTAAGTGCACCCTTAAACTATAAGAGCACTTAGCCGTCTGCTTATCAGTGAGGTAGTCTTTTCATAAATGCATCATAATGTACTTCACCATTGTCCTACGTCATGAGCCGCATGCCCGGCGCGGCGCCCGCCGTGGAGCCGCTGTATACGGTCGCCGCCTGAGATGCCGACCGCGCGATGACGTTTATTTGCGGCGCCAGTGTGGCCTTGCCAATTGGAAAGCCTTCTGCCGCCGGCGGGCGCACGCTCGGAAGCTCCGTAAATCCACCGCGCTGCCCCGTTCATCGATAACGGCGGCCGCAGCGAGCCCCACTCGTAAATAGCGGGAGCACCTGACGCCGGCTGGCCGGCGGCGAACTCGCCGCCGGCTGCGGCGGATCCGCCGCGCTCGACGCTGATTGGCTGGCGGGACGCGGCGCTGGCGGCTGTATAAAAACCATGAGCGGGAGGCTGCAGCTGCAACGGGACCAGTACCGCGCCATGCTGCAGGTAAGGGAGAAACATGCGCAGGCAGCTGCATTCATTGCAGAGCACGTGGCGCATCGGCATCAACCACGAACACCAGAGGCGAGTTGGGCACCAGCAAAAGTTACGGTGACAGCGCGTTGGAAGGCTGCTAACGGAGTAACTGGGGTAGGAAGCCGTGGCCCCACTTTTTACCATGTTTACTGACATTAACCGCATGGTGGCACATGATGAGAACTGGATACAAAATTGAATTTCATGTCCGCCCGATTTCTGAAATTTTCCTACGGCCCTGGCTGGTAATCTGCGCTCGAGAAGCAACGAAGAATGTGAAACACGAGTGCTAACTCGTGATGGATTTGGAACCAGCACAGGTCTTCATATGCTCGTCTCCTGCATGCCGTCGGACGAGTCGTTGTATTTATCTTTCCTTGGTTCCTTTTCAGTAGCGTTTCGTAATGCCAGCACTCCTTCCAGACATGTGGACACTGCAGGCCTGTGGTTCTCAAACCAAATCCCAGTTACCTTACTTTATCTATTTGCAAAGCAGAACATTGCGCTATGTTACATCAGCGCGTGCACTACAGACCATCAACGCATCCATTCCACAACTTGTGTGCCGCGTCCTCCCTCCGGCCCGCTGGTGGTGTGCCGCGTTCTTCTCTCCGACCTGCCAGTGGTGTGCCGCGTTTCTCCCTCCGACCCATCGCTGGTGTGCCGCGTTCTTCTCTCCGACCTGCCAGTGGTGTGCCGCGTTTCTCCCTCCGACCTACCGCTGGTGTGCCGCGTTCTTCTCTTCGACCTACCAGTGGTGTGCCGCGTTTCTCCCTCCGACCTACCGGTGGTGTGCCGCGTTTTTCTCTCCGCCCTGCTGGCGGTGTGCCGCGTTTGTTTCTCCAACCTACGGGTGGTGTGCCGCGCTCGTCTCTCCGACCTCCCGGCGATGTGCCGCGTTCCTCTTTCCGACCCACCGGTGGTGTGCCCTGTTCCTCTTTCCGACCTGCTGGCGGTGTGCCTCTGAGTGACTCGCGATGTTTTCGACAGCTACTACTTTGGATGACGGCGCTGGCGGCGGCTGTGGCCGCGCCGCTGGATGATGGTGTCGTCTTTACGGTGAGTGCCGTGATGACTGACGCAAGCGCGCGCTCTGACCGATTATTCGGCGCCGAACGAGGCAGACTGCCTGGTAATGGCTAAATTTCTCAAAATGACACAATATTTTCTATCCAATTTAACTATTTTTTCTTGCTGGCATTCCCGGCGTTAGTGTGCTGAACTGTGCACGATCGCCATCTCGCGGTATACAGTGGAGTGAAAACGCAACACTAAAAATTTAGAGCATTTCCAACATCTCCAGCTGTTATCCACGGCGAGCTCATCCCATCTCATCCAACCTTGCCCTTCTCGCGTGACGTCGCGGCCCGGGTTTGACGTCATTCGTGCACCTCCGCAGCCGTACCGGTACGAGTACAGCGTGGACGTGCCAGAGACCGGAGACCAGAAGTCGCACTATGAAGAGCGCGACGAGACCGCCGTGGTCGTTGGCAGCTTCCAGCTGGTCGACCCCAGGGGCGACCTGCGCAAGATCAGCTACCGCGTGGAGGGCGACAGCGGCTTCGTCATCACCGGCATGCAGGTGACGCCCGCCTTCGCGCCGCCACCGCCCGACCCCAGCTCCTACGCCGGCCGCCAGGCGGAGTCCGACGCGTCGCTTGCGGGAGTCGGCGGTGGAGCCGAGGGCGCCGCTGGAGGAGGAGAGGGTGTTGAAGACAATGGAGGAGGTGCTGGAAATGGTGACGGAAGCGGTGGAGGCGACGCGGACAGTGAAGGCACCGCAGGCAGTGAAGGCACCGCAGGCAGTGGAGGCGCCGGGGGTAGTGGAGGCGCCGGGGGTAGTGGAGGCACCGGGAGCAGTGGAGGCACCGCAGGCAGTGGAGGCACAGGAGGTAGTGGAGGCACCGGGGGTAGTGACGGAATCGGCGGTGGAGGAGGTTCTGCAGGCGATGGAACCGCGGGCGGGCTGGGAGGAACGGCTGGGACACCGGCAGAGACAAGCTCCTTGGAGGAGACGGGCTCGTCGGGAGACCAGCTGGGCACAGCGCAAGGGGAGGGCGAACTGCAACAAGACTCCGCCCAGTCTCAGGTAAGAACAACGATAGCTGTGTTTAACATGCGAACATAATGCCCGCCGCCTACATCTCGTTATTGTGATGAAAGGACTGCCTAGGATGATCAGCTTATGTGTTCCAACTACTGACATGTGATTTTTTCGGTAATGACAAGTGCCGCCGTGTCGACTTGAGGCTAAGGCAATTGAAACACTACGTAAAGCCGAGCTGAAGCCGCTTTCCAAATGACATTTGAGGACTGATTAGCTGACATAACATCAAATTTGGCAGAGAAAAGTAAGATTGGCGAATTGTGCCAACACAGAGTACAGTGTTGCGATTTGTACAAGACGTCGCCTGACCTTGTCAGGTGATGTTTTGGTTGCATTCATTTTTTGGCCAGCTTACGTTTACCGGGTGGTCATTTTGCAAAAATGTAGCTTACATCAAATAGCATTAAGCTGAGAAAGTTAAAAATGTACCAATTTATAAATAGAAAACGAGGCGTGACATGATCTTTATCAGAAATTAGTTTAGAGTTTCGGCAGCTATGACAGTTGACCGTGTCAGCTGAAGTTTTGTTTACATTTGGGCCACGGTTATTGTCGGGCATCTCCGGGAAAGAGGACCAAACATCAGCTGAACCGGCATTGTTTTGATCCAGACTGTCGGCGTCGCCCTATTTAAGGCAGTTAACATTTGAACAGTTAGCAGTGGTGGAGGGCATGCTCATGTGACTGTGGTACACCGCTATTGGATCCCTTGGGGCGTTCTTTGGCTAAATTCAGTTCGATAACTGATAATTGTTCAAATCGTTCATGCCGTCGCGTATCCGACATTTGCTGTGTTAGTTGAGCGAAGCACTGCTGGGTGTTGTGGGATTTCTAGACGCTTCTTCTCAGGAAACAAAGTGCATCTAAGTTGACTATTCCGAGCAGACGCACCAAAATGTGCTAGCCGTGTTGCAACCACCCACTTGACTATGTATCGTTGACTGCCGATCTCTATCGCGGCCGTCCTGTCCCAAGGCCAAGACCGGTCCATGCAGAGGGCTATATTTCGTCTTCTCTGCGTCACTCTGGGGACCAGCTGACCTCCGCCCCGCACCGGCCGATGTGTTACCGTCAGACGATAACCGTCCCGCGGTCTTGGACAGGGGGCCGCTAGCAGTGCCAGCCTCTTCAACTTCGAAGGCCCGGCCTACACGTACAGCATCGTGCGCACCCAGCCGAACCGCTTCGAGGTGAAGGAGAACGTCATCGGCCATGAGGTGGTGTTCGAGACGCACGGAGCCCGCACGCGGAGGTCGCTGGCGCTGGTCTTGTGGTCCCTTCTGAAGGAAGCGGAGCCTGCTCTGCTTCAGGGTCGAGATTAGGTCTGAAGTCATCAGGGGCCAGTCTGGGGGCAGTCTCGAGAGATCGGTGGCCAGTTTGGGTCAGGTGTGAGGTAACCAGAAGCAGGTTTCCGCCCATTAGGGCTGGTCAAAGGTCAATGCATGCGTCATCAGAACATAAGGCAAGGGCAGTGCATGACTCATGGGGAGAGGGGGTTATCTGGGGTTCAGCGCGAGTTCACCAGGGTACCCGGGACTCCCATGCCCAGTTACTCTGAGCTGGAGTCAGAGATCGAGATGAGTGGAGCGCGATGTTGGCACCTGCCATACGTTACCGCAACGGTGGGGTCCCTGTGCCAGCTTCGGGTCACGGATAGCCCCGCTTACGTTGACTTCTGAATGGACGTCTTCCGAACGGACGTCCTCTGAGCGGACGTCCTCTGGGCGGACGTCCTCTGGGCGGACGTCCTCTGAGCGGACGTCCTCTGAGCGGACGTCCTCTGAGCGGACGTCCTCTGAGCGGACGTCCTTTGAGCGGACGCCCTCGGAACGGACGTCTTCTGATTGGACGTCTTCTGGGCGGACGTCCTTTGCACGGACATCCTCTGAGCGGACGTCTTCTGAATGAACTCTTCTGATCGGACGTCATCTAAACGGGCATCTTCTGAACGGGCATGCGATTGTAAAGCCCAGAGAGAGCAAGAGACGCAGAATGGACAGCAGAGACAGCCGTGAGGTGGGCGTCTGCAACGCTCTGCCTGCAACTGCCAGCTCCACAATCAGCTGGCGTGTCCCTGCGGAGGTCAGCAGCGTGCGGGATGAGTCAGCGCCGGCGTCATTGTCACGGGGCGCCTGTGATAGACTGCAGCAGCGTCACTTTGACACGAGGCGCAGGTGTGGCGCGGCTCGTCTCAGTGATAGCGCTGCACATAAGTCAGTGAGTGGCACCAGACGTCCCGGCCGATCAGTCCGGGCGGCATTGGTGCGCGGCGAGCGCGCGGCCGGCGGTGCCCACGCCTGGCCAGGGGGTCTCCTGTACACGGCGTCCGCTTGTGAATGGCGGGCGTCTGTGTGCGGTCTCAAGCGTTGGATGATAGCGAGCGGTGTGATCAGTAGCATGTGATCAGTATCATGTAATCAGTATCATGTGACTGCTAAAGCAGATGGCGGATGCAAACATCCCAGCGTGTGTGAGTTTTTATCACTTTTGAGGTTGGACGTAACGCATAACTTTCCCAGCTGTTTGAGGTGCTGGAGACGTCGTCAAGGTGACTTTCATGCCCCAAATTTCTAGAATGAAAGGTTGCGATCAGAAGATATTTTTATTGTCATTTTCTGTCATGCGTGTGTCTTGAGAATGCAAACGCGAGAGCGCGGACTACCCTGTCGGTCCCAATTGGCACCATAATCCCATCCCTACTCGTACGTCGAATGTTGTCTTGATTGCGCTGTGTTTCTGCGTCTTTCTGCATTGAGAAACACCAGGGCTCAGTGTGACGGTTATATCACGAGCCGTGTGATACGTGTGTACCATAGTCGACTAAATGAGATGACCTTCCACGAGTTTGCAGACATTTCGAACCGCACTGGATGGGGCTGGTGGACTAAAAAGTTGTTTAATCATGCTGCTCACGGAATGCAGCGAGCATTGCAACAAAATAGTCTCCTTTCTTGACCCAGACGAGCGTAGCATAGCGGTGACGGCGTCACGTTTGTTTTTCTGAGCCAACGCCACCGTGATTCTATGGTTTTTATTACTGCAATATTCCGGTGTTTCGGCAATTTATGGGTTTTCCATAGAATACCGCTTCCTTTAGCGGACTTTGGCCACGTTTGCCTTCTGCGCGAGTGCTGATCATTTTACCGGGGGGTGTTGATTTTTCAATGATGGGGGGGGGGGGGGAGCGAGCCGAGGGCCCGATGGCCTACAATACCCCTCCCCACATTTTTTAACGTATTTAACCCACTCATTTTGCTTAAAGGTTATTGATACGCTAATTGTTTAAGCGTTGATACAAAACACTTAATTTAAACAGCATACCATTTATGCGGAGACGGACCCAGAGGAGTGTGTGGGCGCAGCGGGTATACTGAAGGTACGTACCCCTCCTGATCGGAAAGTAAAGACGCCCGACTAGAGGCCTCCTCAGGGCGCCGAGTGCGCTGTTCTCTGGCGGTTACGGGCGGCGGCACACATTTTTGGTAGTGGGGACGTGAGTGGGGGCTGGTTATGAATGGCCTAGGTCATCCCGCGCTCCGAGGCCTTTCAGCTTAGCCTCTCAAACCACTGCACGTCCTATGGTTTAGTGTGTTGCATCATTTACCTGCCCGGTGGGGCACCATGTCCATTTGACGTCGACAAAATGCGAACTCTATTACGAGGGGATGGATGTTCTTGTGCTGGTAGGTGCATTGCTCTATACAACAAACATAGGTCAAGGTTGGACATAACGGATAACCTTACCGGCTGTTTAACGTGCTAGAGACGTGGTCAAGGTCACTTTCATGCCCCAAATTTCCAGTTAGCAAGCTTGAATGTTTGTCTATGGGACGGTGAACATCCGACTACACTAACGGATCCAATTACGGGGCTTGAGGGTTACGCCAATTGGCCAAACTATGCAACCTTCTTCAATCTTTTTTTGCCCTTGGATATAGGCCACAGCGCCCCAATGCAATACAGTGTTGCCTTACAAAGTTGCAATTTTTGCGTGACTCGGGAGCGATGTGCCAGAATCTCGGCCTGAATTTGGCGCCGGACCACATTTTTTAGTTCAACTATATCATGGCGTCAACAATTGGTAACAACATAATCATGTATAGGATTGGAGATGGTCAAGGTCAAGGTGACTTTGACTTGACAAGGAGCTGAAAGCAGGCTGCATGAACTGTAAGCTGCAACATTGAAGTCCAGGACCCTGACAGCAGAATGCAAATAGACACCATTGTATTTCAGTAGAAAAGTGAAAGAGCTTTCAACAGCTCGCGTGCTGCTCTGTTGGATTAGTTTAGGTCGCGAAGGCATCAGGCGAAGACCATGTGATAAGGATAATCTCCAGCAAAGCGACACTCCCCCCCCTGCCTGAGACCCTAATGGGTGTTGTTTGCGTTGCTTTTTAAGCGTGTTTTTAGCCCCTAATGAGCACGGTGCTTTTACACGCGTCGGACGCACGGATGCAACGTTTCAAGACCGAAACCGCATACCTGTCCACATCATACTTTTGCGGAACGCGTCATATTTTTCGACAGTTTTCGCTGCTGGACACGGGATGTGCTTTCTGCTCCCACCTCCCGTCTGGTCACGGCAGACACTCCTTTTAAGAAGAGGAACCCAAAAATTTGGGCTGCATGTTCGAATTTCTAAAACGCAATTTATTTCTACTAGCTTCCCTGTCAGCTTTCGTGAATACTTAAATATTGCAGATATTTCGGTCAATCTGAGAAGACGTCCAAACCTTGGATACGGCTTACATTACGGCAAGCAAGCCTCCTAGGACCCGACTCTGAGCACCAAACGAGTATGCACTTCATGCCACACTTTCTGTCATGACATTACCTGCTTTAATAACACGTCTGACGTGAGTGGAAACAAATGCCCGTGCAAATAGACCACAACCATGCAATGGCCAGGGCGGACGAAACTAAACCGGGGCGGTCGGCCTCCTTTTGGCAATCGTACGGTGACGTCACCACGAGAATGTCCGAGGGCATTTACATGATGAAGGCATCACTGGCGGGTTTTTCAACTGTTGTTTTCAAGTACTTCTGAACCGTTCCTTCCTATGGCTTTAATCCACCAACGTTAGTATGTCTCCTGGCTATACCCGTCGTTAAAACCGTTGTAACTGGTCACATATTCTCACACCAGCCCGTATCATTGCACCATGTCTCGCATTCACAAAGAGGCTAACATTTAATCATATTATCATCTTGTCACCTGCTGTTTCGAACTCGGCGGTGCAGCTACAGTTTACCGTAACTGGTGGAACGTTTAAGCGCACGGTCAGGCCGGTGGACGGGTGATATTTGAGGACACAACTAGTAAGAAGGCGACGGGGGCTGTATTCAGTGCTGAAGGACACCAGAAATCGTCCTAGCCGGATGGATGGGAAGACAGATGCAGTCAGATTTCATATGATGCTGAGAATAGCAATGCCTGAACCACTTTTGAGCACATGCATGGGCTTAGAACTTGTATTTTCCAACACATGTTTAGGGTCCAAATGCCATTTTCGGGCCTATTTCCCCTGTGTGACGTCACAGACATGAAGTTAATATTCGGAAATGTTGGGTCAATGCAGCTGCATTCCCAATCTAAAGCATTAAGGTCACATCCGTAAAGGGTCTCAAACCCAGGCTAAAAGGAACAACCGGGCTTTTGCAAGTTATGTTTGCAAGAACATGAGGTCCTACAGAATCAAGTAGACTGGCTTTTCATCAGGGTCGATAAGAGTTCCCCCAAACTGGGGAGCCCATCATCAAGGCTTTGCTAATTTCTTTCCAATGAACTCCCATCGCGCTAATGTCGAACTTTCCAAAAGTTGGAGGATAAGCCCCTTGGTCCATCCTCACCACTGGTTCTCATGCTCCTGGTCTTTAGAAACCCGGTAATAATAAAACACATTTTGGCACAGCTGAAAACCTGTCGGCTGCTTATAATGCTGATAATCTTAGCACTGTTGGGACCCCATGAGATTGACTCGAGGAACCAGAAAGTGGTAGTAACACACTTCGAGGAAAAATTTCGATGTTGAACTGCACGCTTTCGTCGAATTTCTTTAGTGAGTACTGGTTGTTCCGATACAGGCTTTAATTTAGAGTGTTTTGAGCGGGGCTATCTTGCAAAGAATTAAAAATCGATTGAAAAAAGACAAGCATCGTTGGCCACAAGAGTTTGCCAGCTACACAGTACCCAGTGGGATGTGGGAGGCGGAGTAATTTGATTCTTGGACCTTCCCCAACCCCGGAAGCTGCCGACTTGTCAGCCGAGTCGGCCACGCAGAGTGTAATAGTCCAAACACGAGCTTTCGACGCCCAAAAAGGCCATGGATGAATGTATGCCCCTTCACACACGCGTGGGTCACGCGCCCTGGTCGAGTGGTCTGCCGTCCTGTGTCAACGCATCACCTGCGCCAAGTTACATCGGTACTGGAAATCTAGACATTTATTCCAACCATTTTGCGTCTCATCGATAACTTACTTCTCAGACATTATCTGTAGTGTCTCATTGACCCTTACGTTTCCAAATCGATATCGGTCGAGTTCATATATTTGCGCATTCTGTCCCTCTCCCTACAAATGATGAAAATGGACCATAGCCAAGCTTCAACAAACATGAGCGCTGTGAAGTAACACCGTCAGCTCCGCGAGAACACCGTCAGCTCCGCGAGAACACCGT